AAGTGAAGTAATCAAAATTCTGCGCGTATATTAGGTCATAATTTCTGTAGAATCTACCCTCATACTGATTTGACTCAAATGTTGATCACATAACATGTTATATAGCTAGCGTCTTGTATAGTAATTTAAATAGTATATACTTTATTTGTGCCTGTATTCTTCCTTCCACAATATGTTCCTGAATGTTCCTCCCGACAGAGGAAACGCCATCATGTAAACATCCAACCATAATTTTCAATAGCTCTGCAACTTTTTGAGAATGTTCCTTCGAAATCATTGTTGATTAAAATTACAAAACTGAATTAAAAATTCACAGTTTTAGTTCATTTAAAGAAGGTATATTATTACGTCTACACAAAATATTCAAATATAAAATATTATACACGAATATAAGCACATTAGTGTATTTGTGTTTAAATACAAGCATGTCATTTCAACTGACAAAGACGAGGGATGTACTCTCATGGATTAGACCACCTACAAACATTTCTGTTTCAATGTGCCATTATGCGAGTGTCAATCTGTAATTTGTAGATTACAACAGCATACATACGTTGATAGCGTAAGTAATAAACATCTGTAAAATACAGAACCTTTATGGTCACGATATAATAGAGTCTTAGCAGCATTCGTGCTTATTACTGATTTCATTATCCCATCTTTAAATGATATCCTTATATCCAAAATAATGAGCCAGCATTTCCACAGAAAGGGTAAGGATCAAATTGCAACTGAATGAAAGCATCTTATGCAGGCATGGTGAACACAATATAGACTCACCAACACACTATGATTCTTGAAAACTGAATGCAATATTATATGTAAGATGTTTACTTATAATATTTCCATCAACGGATTAACATTCGCCGTAACATCCGTATTCAGCCAAAGGACAGGGTAGATTATTCACCTGCTGATGCTTATTTGATGCGATAAACATTCAAAATAACGGCAATTTTATTTTTTAATATTGTCATATACAGATACTTGTACCACGTTTCAGTAAGCGTTTCATTCAATCTTTATGGCAGGTAGCAATGAATTAGTGATAGGTAGGTTCCAACCAGTGAAAATATGAAATATATTATGTATCTTAATTGTCTAATGTGTACGTGATGTTATCATTACAAATGTGCGAAAACAATGAAATCACAATATGTGTGTATTTGTGCATACAGTTTAGCTATATTGTTTTTAGGAAACTGCAATTTGCAATAATTGTTTTTATTTGTCCAATATCCTGCAAAACTTTAATATAATGAAACTAAAAGAAGAAAACATGTTAGCATTCGAAAATCCATTCGAAGACCATTTTCGGAAGACTTATATTTCCATATGAAAGGCATAAATATGGATAACATGTTTAATGTGATCAACATTTAACATAAGGACATACAGCTTTCCTAATATAAACTACATTGACAAGAGTCGGTGTTAATCATTTATTGTTCCATGAGAATTTATAATAAAAACGGTCTATAACACATTATACACACAGTGCAAAATTACCACTCTCAAATGTTGCTGTTGCATTTTCCGAATCATTGTGTATATATATTGTGTCGCTCTTTGGTTATTGTGCGTGTTTTAAAACATTGTTAAAATTATTATTATTATTTTAATTGTTTAAGTACGTCGATTGATTATTTGTGTACACGTAGGCTTGCTCAGTGCACTAAACATGGTGTTCCTTTACGCCCTCTATAGGCAGCAAACGAACTTGCAACTAAAGTACCAAATCAATCGGATCAAGTCAAACAGAATGTTATTTAATGAAAATGAAAATATGATCACTAAAATCAGACAATGAATAATTATCATCACTAATTTAACCATGTCGCAATATTTTCATATTTTAATTTATAATTCTATCAAAATTGACTTGATGCCAACACAATTAGATTAGTATGTTTTATAATATGACGTCAACAACAATGACATAATTTAAAAAAAATTCAATGACTGAAAAAAAAACTTATTGTGAATACTAACTAATAAAATAAAGTGTTAAATACATGATTTCTATAATTTGTTTTTATCTTAAATGAGTCATTTTGAGTGAAACAGATTTTTCATGATTGTGATTTAGGTCTTAAAATTCTGTTTGTCCGTTTAGTTTTTGACGCAGAGGACGCTGTTACGAAAATTATTGTTACTGATTGGGCTTTTCGTTATTCAACTGAAGTTTATTGACAGCAGTCAGATGTATCGTATATCGTCAAAATGGTCATTTTACTTTGATTAAAAACACATATTATGTAGCTCACACATATATATTTGGTAGAACGGCTGCTATGCGTTTTGGGCATTAATCTGTGCTACTGTGTGTTCAATTGTGGTTATATTGTTTCTGGTTTTGAATATGAAAATTGATTTCTCATATATTTTGTATGTTCAAAATAGTTCCTTAATATGCCTAACGAGCTGTTACAAAATTTAATTTATAGAGCCAATTACAATGTCACAATGACCGACAGTTGATTAGAATAACCTGGATGTCAATCTCAATGGAGAGACTAAGGTTTTGAAATCTGACAGGCTCTTTGTAATATACAATGTGGATTATTTTCTTGTCTACCTGACGTGATATTTATATATTTTCATCAGGAAATCTCCACACTGCTATATTTTGGATCAGTAGATTGAAATATAAGTGCAGCTTACCGCTAATGGACGTAACAGTTATATTCACAATTTGTATGAACTACATAATAGAGCCAACCACACGGTGAATGTAAGGAAGACTATATATACGTCTTTGATACATTGTATTTGCATCCCACGTAAATAAATATTTAAACATTGAATTATTTACCTCTACAAAATGCAAAATATGTTTTTTACGTGAAATTATATTGCGAATATGCGATAATATGCAACCGGTGTAAAATGTTAAAATCTTTTGCAATGTCTTTCAAAAATATTCACATTTCTTACCTACCTGATATTATATATGCTATTTTTTCAATGATGGCTTAACAACCGAATGCTTGCCGTGCGCTACTTTGCAGTTGAGTTAGTCTGTATATAACCGACTTACAATGTGAGTTTGCTCTTACTTCCCACAAATATACATCATGTGACCATATTGATTAATGATTAACTTATATGCTTCAACATCCTCGACACTGAATAGTAAGAAGGTACATGAACATTAGACACTAATTTGTGAACATGTACCAACACGGATAATCATGAATTTAAGTAGGCATCGGAATGAAGGGAGTATCAGGAGTTACTGTCGCGACAGTTCTAGTGAACAAAAACGTGTTTTAATGTCAAAAGTCGGTGTTCCTACCGTCGATGAGCGTGGTAACAATTACCTTCCGATGGCCCGCGGTTCCAGCGTCGTTCGGCCTTCAACATCGGTCATGGCTCAAATAAAGTGTCAGAGAAATATCTCCACAAGTGAAACGGTATGCTCAAGCTCAGTCGCCACAGAAAACCTGTTCAAAAACTGCAATTTCGGAGGCTCTGTATATGTGTATACTAACAATTATATTTCTCCAAAACCAAACTAAAATCCTCGAAACTTGAAAAATTTCAAACCACCATTTTCAAATTTACCACTCTTAACAAATGTTAATGTATTAATCCGTGATATTTATAATGTCGATTTATGT